TGGAAGTTTCTCCGGTGCCAGTCGAGACCACATGGTTGTCACGACTCGGGTCCAATATGAAGAAAAGACAGACGCGAGGCAGGATATCTGTGTTCATGCATTGACAACAACGACGAGCAAGCGACGACATCTGGGAGTTTTAACAAGCGTACGCCACATTGACAATTACTTATGGAGGAACGATTGATGAGATCAGAGCGAGATCAGAGCGGCCGTTACCTCCGTGACCTCCATTTGAACTTGTTATGATGGCAAACATCCAAAACGACCAGCAGGTCACCCTCTCGGAAAAGTTATTGCTCTTATATGAACTTGACTCTGTTAACGACATTCCAGGTTACGGAACAAAAAAGGCAATTCGCGAAGCCCGCCTCCTTGACACTATCGCGGTAGCGCTGACCACTGGGGATCCTGGAGACGTATTTGCAGCTGCTTTCGACAAGCGCGATAATTTTCAGCTCGTTTTAGCAAAGAATGGGCTTCCCAATTCCGACGACATAAACGCCGCCACAGAACTCATGTCTCTCATCGCAAGTCCTGATGTGACCGATATGACCGGCCTCTGGCCTTTCTTGGTTCGGCGTTGCGGTAGGAATATAGAGAAGAGGATCCATGATCTTCATACAACCCTCCAGGATCCTATGCTCCGCGAGGACTTGGAGGTGGCACTCAAGGCCTACATCCCTTGAGCTGATCTCAAACGTGAGTTTCCCAAGGAATCAGACCTGATTCAAGCATCACATGAACGTTCAACCTCGTCTTTCGATGATATCTGGCGAAATTTGATTGCCCAGCTCACTGACATGACGGCCGAGGCCACAGACAACCGTTTGGACCTGAAGAACGTCGTAAACATCTCCTTGCTTGCAACCACCATTTCACACGCTCCTTTCCTCAAATCAATCCTTGATGACCCCAACCGCGCGTATCTCGATCGCAAGGCGAGAGTATTAGAGAAGTTCAAGCGGCGATTGGATAAAGTCCGTCAATACGTGCATGGTATCACGAAGCTCGTAACGAGAGCAAAGAGGCTCGCGCCAATCTCACACCGCTGGGTTATGGACGATTTTTCTGGCACAGGAGAGGGCACATTCACGCTTTGTGATGACCCCCACGAAGCTGTCTCTCGTGGACTTCGACAGCCTTTGTCGCCAGGCATTGTCAACCTGCTCGATGACAGATTTCCCTCTCTTCGCAATGATTGGGGGAAGCAGAAAAGGATCCACGCGTGCGTTCACGCTGAACTTCGCATTATTCTCCATTTCGGCCAAGTACCATCCAGTACTGGAACTTCCATTCCAATTGGGGTTAGCAAAAGAAGTTGTTTATGTTGCAACTTGTGGATCGATAGCTACAATATATTGTATCGGACGAAATGGATGACCAGTGGGTCTCATGGGAAGCCATACGCTAACTGGGCGCTTCCGGGTGCCGATGCGATTGGAGAAGATGGGTATAGTGCGGTTGACCGGTTTGTATTGGGTGTGGTTGAAGTGCGGATGGAAAATGCCTTTGGTTGGCTCCTGCCGCCGAAGTCAAAGAGGGTCTCCGACGAGCACGTTTCTACTAGTGGCGATGATAGTTCTGAAAATGACTCGGAGTACTCGGAGACGCAAAG